GTGTCTTGCTCGTACGCGCAAGTTTTCTTATCTTTCGAGGCGTCACCCCCTACACTGATTCTCACACAACCCTCACCAACAACACCACTCTCGCGAAGATTCTCGTTCACAAGATTCGTCGCACTCACCAACACAGCACCGTCGCGCTCCGCTACGGACGAACGTTCGCACGTTACTCCGTTATTCTTCTCGTTTCCGTCCAAGGTCAATCTTACCGCTGATATCACCTTTCCGTTTTTATCCCCATTAGTATTGATCTTTATTTTAACTACGTGTGACGCTTGTTGTTGTTGCTGATACTGATTTTGATGTTGATATTGATGCTGTTGCTCCTGATGCTGGACGCTGCTCTGCCTATCGTAGCCGTTAGAGGTTTGTATTTCCGGGACTCGTCTCTTGGTACTTGCCGTAGAATCCACGGTACGAGAACCGACGAATACCGTTGCTCCGGCACCTGTGCTCAGAGCCGGAGAGGATGGAGGGGAAGCTGCCCGGATTGACACAGTCTGCCGAGCGACTTGGTTGCCATCCCGACTCTGAGTCTTTGCCGGTAGTGGTGGTAGAATGGTCATCGTGTTAACCTCGTCCATACGTACCTACATTCGAAAGCACTTTGCTCTTGTAGATTGATATTTGTATTTACTTTTTCTTAACTATTAAGTTTTATATACTTTTCTTTTTCTCTCTCTCTCTCTCTCTCTCTCCCTCTCTCTCTCTCTCTCTTTCTCCATCTCTACATCAATGTTAAATCAAACGCAATGGAATTCCAAGATACAATAGTATCTATTGTCCAACTGTTACTTATTTTTCTTGATATTGAAAATTATGTTTGAAATGCTTCTAAAATCTGTCTAATCGACTTTCTGCATAATACTACTAAATAATACACTATATTAATTCCTCTATCTACTAGCACAGAACTCTATTTCCCTTTCTCCTTAGCTTATGCCACTCTTTCGAGAAGGAACACCAACCAAAACGGCCTTCTCTGATTGACCTTTCCTTTCTCTATGAATCACTTACCTGCTAACAATATCCAAAATACATATTTCAGTGATGACGCATCAACGCGTCGAGCTTTAAACAATATCAATTACGTATTATGAATGCGAAAATAATAATCGCGAATTTTGTAAATTTGAAAATCTAATTTTACGCAAACTATGAAACTATTATAATTTTGTTATAGTAGTTGTAATAATGTTATTGAACACGAGACAATACTCTGATATATATATCACATTACATGAAATAAATTGTGAATTGAAGGAATCCATTGCAAACAAATTCATTATAGAATAGTGTTTACTTCATTGGCAGTTATTAATCAGAAACATATTCAACTATACTGTATATATATTTAAAATATATTTTTCAATGAAGATCAAAATTTTAATCGTTTCAAAGTAATTTTAACTGAGTAAACACATTTATTCAGAATTCTTATAAAGAGGATCCATGATTTCGACAAAAGCAGAGATGTTTCAATTACTTTGGATGGAAAACAGCTGTGTGCACCTGCACGCAGCGGAGAGAAGAGAGAAAGAGAAAGACAGGGAGAGAGAGAGAGAGAAAAAGAGAGAGAAAGAAAAAGAGAGAGAAAGAAAAAGACAGAGAGAGAGTGAGAGAGAGAGAGAGAAAGAGAGAGAGAGAGAGAGAGGGAGAAAGAAAGATTATCAAGCACTCCACTTACGGACTGCATATGTGTATCAAGAGCTACGCATAGTAAAGCAAATTGACTTGAGTCCGACGAGTAGTAGACGATGACAAACGCGACGAAGAAGATAACAAAGAAGAAGACGACGACGACGACGATGACGATGAAGAAGGAAACGATGATAACGACGACGACGACAACGGCGACGAAAACGACGGCCAACGGCAACGGTTCACAGCGCGGGGCCGTCAGTAACTGTACTGAGTGCTGCTGACACTCACTCATGCAGTCACCCGTCTTGGGTGGGGACCGAGACTACTCACGGGGCCCGTGCGACTTGAGAAAGGTGCTGCTGCTGTTTCTGCTGCCGTTCCTAAGTCTTTAGGAGTGGGGAGAAGAGGGGACCGAAGGAACGTCGAGCAGTCATTCGGAGTGGGGCAAGGAGAGAGAAGCATAACGGCCGAAGTGCTCGTCGAGTCGTGTTGAGAACGGCTCTTGGAAACGATCGTAGCAGGTACATAGCCGGAACGAGAAGGACGTGGCGTCCTCTATCGAACCACCTCGAATTGACCATCCGGTTTCTCATTTAAATACCTGCTGCTTACCGTTCACCGTATGAGAATCCCTCCTTACTCTCTTACCTGTTTGCCAACCTATCTACTTGCCTTCTACCTGCCAACCAACCAACCAACCTACCTACCTACCTACCTACCTACCTACCTGCTTGCTTGCTTGCGTGCTTGCTTGCTTGCTTGCTTGCACGATGAACCTTTGCTCTTTATGGGTGCGTCCGTGAACACAAACACTCCATGGAATCTCGTACACCTGCCGAAATTTCACCAAGACCTGTGGAATGCGCTTCTGGCTATAATGGATCGAACATCGTACAAATGGAAAGTGCGAGGAAAGATCTACTCGTCTCTTCACCAACTACACCATATGTACATACATACATACATACATACTTGTTCGATATCGATCAAATACATCGATTAACTATCAATTAGATTTTTTTTTACCATTTAATGATTATGTTACTTTGTTTCATCTATTCACTGACGATGTTCATATCTGCCTGCAGTTGTAGTAGAAATTTTATAATTGTTATTGGATTCCATTTGTTGTGTTATTGAAAGTATATTTTATGAAGTTCTATCATTTTTCAATCCTAGTTATATGATTGTTAAATTTAATGTTAAATATAAATAGCACAATAATCTTCGAAAAACTTTGTTAATAAAATATATTAACGTTGTAAAATAAATTAGTAGATAAATATTTACCAGAATAATACGACTGATTTCATTCGATGACAAATATTTACATAAAAAGTTGATAAAAATAATGAAACATTCAGAGAACGACTTGCGTCGAACGTATCATAAAAACACCTGAGATCATTAAAAAAAAAAAAAAAAAAAAGAAAATAACGCGTAAGCGATATCTAACATGATTAACTTTGAACGTCATATTTTTTTGCATCGTTGAATATATTAACGATATCATTCCTTCAGGGTATAATTTCGTTTTAGCGTCGTTCGTTTTAAGTTATTACTCGTAAGCTAGATTTAAAAAAAAAAAAAAGAAAAAAAAGGAAAAGGAAAAAAATACGAATCAACATTGTTCTTCCCACTTTCTCCTGAAAGGCTTATAATCTTCATTAAAAAAAAAAAAAAAAATTGCCAAGTATAATATTATCCATCAAACTATCGAGATACGATAAGAAATATCTATTCATTCGTCCATCTATTTCATCTAATTCATCTAACATCAACCATTCATTTATCCATAACAATTGTATTCAATGCAAGTTGCTCATATACATAAACCGCCTAATCCCGAGGTCGATATTGTATGTGTTTTATTATATAGCCTTATTTTCTGCGTGCCTCACCCGGTAAACCGGTCGAGAGTAGTGTGTTCACTTTTTCTTGGACAACGTGAAACTTGTATACCACAGACCACTTGGCTATGGTAGTAATGCGATTATACGAATCACTATAATGAACGTGACGAATATTGCCAATAAAGCATAGCTTGTAGAAACGCATAATTTTCTAAAATAAAAAAGAACATCCTAGCATCGTTTTCTAGACTTTAACGATCCGACAGTACGTTTCAACTATTTTCTAAGACAAAATGAAGAAGATACGTCGTATTAATAAAAGAAGAGTTATGACAGACGAACAATTAACACTTTTACGGTACCTATTCGATTGACCTTGTGACGTGCATGGGTCATGTAGAAGATCGAAACAGGTTCCGTTATATCTTTTAACCGTTTACATTCCTGTGGGTTTCTGGTCATAGCTGTTTATTTTTTATTTTAAGATTTCTTCGAATCTATCCAACTCAATATGATCGAACTTCGTCGACCTTTTCGATCGTACGAAATTTTAAGAAATTATTATGACCTTATTTAAAAGAAATTTCCTTTAATTGATCTTCATTAACGATCGACTTATTCATATGTCAAATATTATTATCAATGAACGTTTAAATCTCTGATGATTATATTTCTTATCGCTCAGAATACATACATGTATGTATACATATACATATATATATATATATATATATATATATATATATATATATAATATAGAATATATAATTAACTAACAAAGAAAATTTTTTAAACACTCGACGTTAAGACATCTAAAAGTCAAAGAACTGTAAATTTTTCTTATGAGACAAAATGTGACAGATATCAACATATACATATTGTGAGAAACGAACGACGAGATTAATCGATGTTAAACAGGGAGATCTTACGGAGCTCTTCCTGCAATTAACGATTTTATTTCACGTTATAATATTTTATGTAGAAGCTAATGGTCTATCGGGATCTCCTGTTTTATTGCTGTAACGATAGTCTCGACGATTATGATGGACACAAATATTCTTCTTTGTGATCGTTTTATGAATTTAACTCCACTTCTCTAGACAAGAACCATACGTTCATCGGTTCTGATTTTCCTTTCATAGTCACCGGACCCCTGTATTCCAACAGAAATTGTGGATCTTGATTCTCTGGCAAGCACAAGTACCTGAAAGGAAGAAATAAAAACAATTTAAAAAACAATTTAAAAGTTATCAAATTAAATTCCACGAACTCTAATCAGTTTACAATTTATGATTTTATTTTATTTTTTTTTTTGTAAAAAAGATCAATCATTTCATGATTCACAGAATAGACAACATTAGCAAAAAATGTTCTCATGCGTAGGACAGTATTTACGGAGGAAGCCCTTAGAATACTTTACGTAAGGTCTAAACGAATTAGCTCCCTCTTGTAAGTTTCGTTCGGTTAATGTAGAGTCGATCATTTGGAGGTCGACAATCGTGAGAATGTCGACTCATAGTATCGGACATTTAAAATTTGTTTGATATCCTTCTTTGTTCTTACTTTATTATTATTATTATTATTATTATTATTATTATTATTTATCGTGAACACGTTTATCGAGAATATCTTTATCATCTTCGAAGGATGGAAGTGCTTATCGACTGTTACTTCGACAAATTGTTTTCCGAATTGGAACGCAGTTGTTTAGCGTCGCGATACAAGCGGCGAGAACTCGTCGGATATTTTTCAGACGTCATAAACAGTTGTGCGGAAGGTAATATAACCTCTTCGATATATTTCAAAATTCTTCAACGTGAGTACGCTTGAAAAGTAATTGAGAGAATTGGAAACGACGACGGAGATACCGGTGGTTTATTGGAGAGACATTTGCTACGTTTGCTTTTACCGAGTCAATGAGTAATAGAGCGAAGAGCTAAGATCGTTCAGGAAAGAAAGTTCGATAATCGATAAGAGACACGCTTAGATTTAATATTTCGTAAAGATTTTATCAAATCTGTTTACTTTTCTATGAAATTTTTAATACGTACCAAAGTTATCGAAATGCGATCATCGATCATTTGCATTTTTTGTCTTTTGTACCTATACATTATCAGCACTATCAAGATTATCAACATAATTAAAATAAAACATAAAATTTATTTACTCTCTCGATAACTCATATCTTTTACTAATTTTCTATATTCAGCGGAAAAACTGGACAAACAAGATGTCTGCGAGAGAATAGTCCTATCGGCATTACGTTATCACAACATTACAATGATGGAAAATGGCCAAGTATGTTTATTAGGAAAATTCCATAACGTTCTTTATGTGGCAGCAAAGCTCTGCTTCGATTGGAAGTTACGAAATAACGAGATAGTTATTCGTTTGTTGAACGACATATTCTATTGTGAGAAGACATTCGAAAGAATTTTCGTGGGAGCTATATTTGGTACTAGGGTGACGCATTTTCTATCTGGTTGGAAAAGCGATTTCGAAGATCAGGAGGAGAATATTAAAGCATTGGTATATTTTATGGATCATGCGATTGAAGGTAAATTGGAATATCGTTGTGCGTCTTCAACTATAAAATCTCGTTTCATCGACGTTCCAATGGAATCTTATGGTCAGGTTGTTCCGCTAAGAGTCGCAATTCAGCATGGTGCACCTGATATACTTATGATAATGCTAAGATACGGAGCTTCGATAGAATCGGACAACCTAGCACCGTCACCTATAGAAATCCTATTGGCCAAATTGAACGAGTACGATATTCAATCATCTGACGAAAAAATAATCTATCCGAAAGATCTACTTGTATGTTTGAAATTACTTTTAAGAACTATACCTATGGCAAGTGTAAAAACACCGAATCATATAGCTGCTCATAGCGGAGTCTTTAGCGTCTCTATGTATGAACATTATCCTAATTTGGTCGAACAAAATTTGGTACCACCGGAAAGAAGTGGATTATGTCCACCAGAATTAATACATCTCTGTCGTTGTAGTATAAGAGAGATATTGTTTCGAAATTGGGCTCTTCCCCATGGCATTCAAAGACTTCAGATACCGCAAACTCTGAGAAATTATTTGGACATAATGAGCGATTGATTGAAATAGATTTAATATTTATTACATATAATTAATGAAAAGAAAAAAGAAAAGGTTCGGTGGTATCATCGATTACGGTAAAAGCTTATTTGGCACGAAAAAGGAGATGGATAATTGTTTCCAAAGGTAGGAGAAATTCTCCTTATCGCCTGATTGGTGTTCATTAAGACCGATGAAGACGTATTTTCTATGAGAAGTATCGATGCTCTACGCGGTTCGATAGTCATTACGGTAAAATTATAAGGGGATCTAAATCTTTCTGACCTAACGATCGTTTTAATACTTTAGACTATTTTCTGGATTAAAGCGTTGTAAATAATGTACTATTCAGACATTTTCTCAAATAACAGGATTCTATTTATTTTTATTTTAAATATATCTGAAATTGTGTTTTACGCTTAAGAAATTTGAAAAAACTCTTCAGGTATATAATCGCGATTAGAAATTAAATGAATGCGTTTGACTTAAATGAATTAAAGAGAAAAAAGTGATATCTATAATCGCACATAACTATCAATCTATACACGTTTTTTTTTTTGCAAAACACGTTAGTTTAAACATGTCTAAACACGTTAGTTTTTTTTTTTTGCAAAAGTTTAACTCCAACATGCTTCGACATATTTTTCAAAGTAGTATTATACTAATTAGGAACAGTTCGTAATCTATTTTCCGTTATGTATTGGAAAAACTTTTCGCGTTTATAGCTCGATGATAGAAGAAGACAGATGTATGTTAAAGAAACTTACGTCAACCACATGGTTAACGTGTAAATTACGAGAAAACTATCCGTAATATCGGCGTAAGCGACGATCTCGTAAATCATGGAGAACTCCCAGCGCTATTAGACGTGAGGGAAAGGGCTTCCCGATAGTATGAGCCGATCAATAATTGCACGTAATATTCTGACCTTACACATGTGTATTCCTTCCTCTGGAAAATTCGTACGTAAATATACGTATGTAAGTACTTACGTATAGTAATACTAGCTGGAAAAATTACGGTAAACGCAAAGGCGAGTATCGATGAAAGAGAGTTGAAGGGGAAAAAAAAATGAGAAGGAAAAAAAAAGAAAGTGGACGAAAAAAAAAAGAGAAAAAAGAAATAATTGCCTCTTACCTCGGTGCGAAATGCACAGCGCGATTTAATCGTTCGTTTCGTTCTCCCGCGTTTACCTTCGAGTTTGCTATAGTTCGCATATCTTTTTTATATGTACGTATGTATATGTATTTATCTGTGACGATTTTAAAAGTCGATCGTATAACTTTCGATGGAAGTCGAAGCCTTTTACTTTGCTCTTGCATAGATTGCAGATAATACGTGATTTCCAACGAAGTGAACTTTAAATCAAATTCGAAATTTATGCTACTTTTTAAAATACAAAGTTTTCATCAAAAAGCAAACGCATTTTAAAAAAGGGATCAACTTAATTTTGCAAATAGTGATATACCAAAACAGAAAAATCTCTCGAACGAATATCTTTTGGGAATCTTTCCTTTGTCAAACGAAATCGATAATCGCAGGATTGATGATCGAGAATTTTTTTTTATCTTGCTCAATATATTCTCAACAAGTTCTCTAATGAATTTCGCTGAATCGACGATTAATCCAAGCAATTGATTTCTAATCGTTTAGCCTGCGACATTAGATACCCTAGTCTATCATTGTTTTTTTCGTTGAGTGTAACTCTTTCAAGAAGGGTAATCACGATCGCAACAAAGCATTGTTCGATTAATAAATCTGACTACTGTTCTCACTATTATTCGATCATTGTATTGTACTAATATTTGTAATAAATTTCTATGGAAAAGACAATAAATCTAATCCTTTTATATAACGAATAATGGTGTTTAAAATTCGTAAATGAACGATCATGTGAAATGAGATATGTTAATAAACGATGAAATTATGTGAATTATATGCTTTGTAAAAAGTAAAAATATTTTTACCTGTAAGCATCCTCCGAAACATTTATTTTACCAGGTTCTCCAGTGGTTTCCGTACGACTAGTAAGATTTACGGTATTTCCAAATAGACAATATCGTGGCATACGATGTCCGATTACTCCAGTTACAACTTCGCCACTGTGTATACCGATGGTGATTTTCTGTGAAATATTTTATAACAAATAATATCTATTTATAATTGTTCTACAATGACAATCGAATGATTTGTTTTCAATACATTTTTGAAACATCGTAATACTATATTACATTATATTTTTGAAGGAAATTAGAAATATACGTTTTCCTTCCGTTAACTTTATTTTTTATATATAAAAGAGCAAAAAAAAAAATAAGAGAATACAAACCACAGGGTCTCCATCGATTTGGACCTCGTCCGCGGCAAGATCCATCATATCGAGCGCAAGTCGTGCTATACATCGTGCATGACAACGACATGGCTCCGGTAATCCGCTCACCGCCATATATTTGTCACCTACAGTTTCCACCTAAATAAGAAAAGTTAGTTTCTAATTAAATTACACATTCATCTAATTGTCTGTAACACATCTACAATTTCAAAGTTTTTCACATAGCAATCCGAAGAATGACAAATGGAGTTTAAAGTTTCTGTCAAATTTAATTTTCGATTATAAATTAAAGTCCTGTAACTCTGAAAGAAGAAAATCAATTGCTATAACTAGAGTTCATTGCTCATTGCTGACTAAACGAAATTTTTGAACCTTGTAAACATTGGGATTTTTCTTTGGATCCGTGAGGACGTCGAAAGCAGTATACAATTGATTGAGCATGTTAACAATCTTCATAGCACCACCAGAATCTGTATGAGCTGCACAATAAGCACCAAACCCGACGATTCCCGAAAAGAGAAGTGTCACGCAATCGTATTTCTTCGCGGGTACTGGCCTCGAATGTCTAAGTTCGTTCGCCACGGAAATCGGCAATACAGAGTATAGTAACCTATGGATTAAGAAAGAGAAAGAGATAGAGAGAGAGAGAGAGAGATCTTTCGTATATTATCGAAAAAGTTTCAACGAAGAAATTAATGAAAATTATCTGTCATCTTTCATCTGCATTTACTTTTATATTCGAAATTTTAAACACAAAAAATGAAGAAACTTATTTTGTCAACTATAATCGGTTTATTGTCAAAGTAATTTTCATTTTCATCGAAATGACCGATTCCAGAACGTGATATTGCAATGCAATTAAATTGAACGATATTTCCTTCGAGATAAAGAAAGAACAAAGAAATAAAGTAGAACGTAGAGAAAGAGAGAGAGAGAGAGAGACAGACAGACCGAGAGAGAGAGAGAGAGAGAGAGAGAGAGAGAAGGAGAGAGTAATTTCTTTAAAAAGAAAATTTTACGACGTGATAAAAGTCGATTCCAAGAGATTCTTATGGAAGCTAAATAGAGGACAAGCCCGATGGGGGTCCCTTTATCAGAAAGTTCTGGGCCAACAGAAATCCTTACCTGTCGGTCTTTTGCTTCTCACCGTCGAGTTCACGATACGTTTGCTGTAGCTTATCGGTGAGTAATTCCAAGTTTCTTGTCAACTTATAATCCGCTTCAAACTGCTCCGACATCAAGACGAGGTCCCTCGTTGCATCGTGTAGTGGCACATCGCTCAGGAATAAACCACGTCTACGACACACCAAACAAGAATTAGTATGCTCTTCTAGTCTTGACATATTTTTCTTCGATAACTTTCTCTTTAATCTTTTTTTTTTTTTTTAGATATTTTTTTATTTTTTATTTACAAATGAATACTTTTACGAATGTAAAAATATGTTCAATGATGCTCACTTCATATTTTTCCATATAATAAATTCATTAAATAAAGAAATATACGATTCCATGTTTGTTATTCTTTCTTTCTTTCTTATTCTTTCTTCTTACTTTAATTTACATAAAGAAAAGAAGTTCTTTAAAAAGTACGAAAGTTACATATATTGTGTGTGTGTGTGTGTGTGCACGCGCGCGCGCGCGCCCATATGTGTATACGTATGCGTAACCGGTTGCGATCAAAGTGAGAAAGAAGAATGAGTACAGGTAATGTCCTTAAGAAAGTAGAAAGTTCTTGCTTCTTGAGTACGATAAAAGTTGGATGCGCCTTAAGGTGGCAGCCGAACTACTTGCTAAATCATGCTTTTTCCTTTATAGAAATAGACTATTAAAATATTTTAATTGAATAGTAAATTGATAGAAAAATCGAAGAGAATCATGCAATTGTTATTCTTTGATATAATCATCTAAAATTCATAACCTACCTATACGTCCACTATTTTTATATTTTTTACAATCTATTACCTCGTAAGATCGTCGAGATTCATGACACTGGGATAAGAAAGGAAAATCGTCAGATCACTCTCAGGTATGTACAACATTTGACCCTTCAACAAAAAATGATAATATTTCGTCACGAACGAAGCGAGAAATGTAAATTTCTCAAATGGCTAATAACACATTCAACGACCAAGCTTCTTTGTACGAATGCAAATGTATTCTATGTTTCAATTGACTTTAACAATATCCTTTGAGAAGACGAAAAAGAAACAAAAGAAAAAAATCTCAATCTCTATGTATAATAGATAACGAGAGTGACTTTATAGAAAACGATTAAATCGATTCGTCGAGTGATCTTCAATTATAAATTTATATCATATTTTTTTTTCTACTATCAAAGTTTAACGAATGTCGAGATGATATTGATTTCTACAAATTTTAGACAATCGTTTTACTAACCTTCAAACGTAGATACGCGTATTCTTCCGAGGATGCAACACGCATCGCTCCTTTTTTAGTCCTCAACACGTAGACAGTGTTTATGTGTGACAGTATGTTTTCAAATGTTAATTCCAAATGCGGCCTGACCTAGGAATGTCGACGACATTATGCAGCCTTGTTTTGCGAGAATTTATTTATCGGGTGCGGAAGGAATGTGCCAGAATTCATAATGCAGTTCGCTGGAATATAATCGACCATCAAATCTCTTTTCGTATGGAGTCGAAATGTCCTGTATAGGCTTATTGTGAATATAACATTGGACATAGCTATATATGTGTACCTATATATATATATATATATATATATATATATATATATATATGTATATGTATATGTTTAGAAAATTTATAAGTCAAGCATTTTTGACATTTTTACTCTAATCTTAAGAAAATTTGTTATTGACGAATATAATCAAAGACGCATGAGAAACATTTTATTTTCTCCATACTCTTGTTAAACATCGAGATAAGATTAAAGGATGATATTAAGTGTCAAGTATTTCTATTTTATTTTTTATATACACGATATAGTCACGAACTGATGCTAATACGAAAACGTAATAACGTAGCCGGACTGGACACAACGCGTGTGTCATGTCGCTGGCAATAAACTGGATTCGAAAGATGTATGATAGCGTGCGCATGAATATGTATGAATTATAGGAACGGGAGGTTTGGCAACGAGGAATACACGACGCAATTATGTTAGCTCGTTGCTTGGTAACAATTAAGATCGAGTTTCGAAAATTAGCTAGGGAAATTTAGCGAGTGAAAGCAAATTAATTATAAATTAATATCAGCAGGTAATATTTCAAATAAACGATATATGGACGCGATACATCCTTAAAATTGAAGCATAATTTTGATATAAACTTTTATAATGGAATAAACGATGACGTAGAAAATTATGTGAATGAAAAATAGTTAAAGAAAAATCGAAAATGCAAAACTTATTTGATGGAATTATAAATTTTTCACTTACGGCGAAAAGTATGTCGGTTAATTTGCAATTACCACTGCAGACTTGTGGTAAAATACGAGTGATGGTATAGCCTGTTTGCACTATTGTGAGATCACGGTCGAACATAATATGGAAAGGAAACACTCTGCAAAACGTTGTCGGGCTCACCTTTGGTTCTATGACAACCAATGAAAAATTTGTATATATTCTACATTCAAAATACAAAAAATATGTCGGCAAAAATATAACTATCTATGAGTACATATAATAATACATATGTATGCATATACATGAGAAAAACAAAAAAAAATATTTATAATTTCGTTTCATGTTACACATAAAAAATATCAAATAGAATCTCATAATATTTTCGACGTTTCATTAAATGACGAGAAAATAAAAACTCATGATAAAGAATCGATTTAATAAAAACGAGCTAATGATTTGAACGAATTTCATAACGTCACATTTTCTCATTAATAGTCATGACCCAGAGAGCCCCATTAATTCCACCGATGAATTGATTTTATAATTTAATAAGAATTTTGTATCCCGTATGTATTAGTACGTTCGAAAGAAATTTATCATACTCACCGGCAGACAACATTTCATGTTCGACGATCATAGAATTTGAAACGACACCGGGTCCCGATGTATTGGTTATCAAAAATTGAACATGATCACATTCGTTTTTCGTCTTCAGGATCTCCATGTCCACGTCTGTCCCGTGAAGCTTTTTCGCCACGGTCTACGGCATAGATAAAACTTCTATATTTACGCTCTCATATTGTTACAAAACTTGTTACATTATGTATAGATATTTTCTGTAATATTTTTAACGATGGTTTTGGTGAATGTTCAAATTTTCAATATCTATAAAATATATTCCTTCGATTTTTAACAAAAAAAAAAAAAAGAGTGATTCTGCATTTACTATGAAATTCAAAATATTTTATTAGATATTATGATAAAACGTCGTATAGCATTATATATATGTACGATATTCCATTGACAAAATGTATTATATGATAAAAATGTTCTCGTTTAACATTACATGAAATTCCATAATATTTTTAGATTTCTTATTTATAAGTATACCTTAACAATTCCAATAACGATATATTCCAAACCCGGTCGGTCCGAATAATAATGCAATACCAAAGCACCATCCTCTGGTCTTTCTGTACATCGAAAAGATGGTG